TTAGAGAGGCCTGAAAGGCCTATGAAGCGGTATATAAGTCTACTGCTATTGCTATTTGTCAGGGCACGCAAGGTGTTGAACCCCTGAAAGACAACCAGCCGACATTCGACCTTCTTTTGAGGCCATTTTTTGCCCAGAGAGTGAATACCGGCCCTACAGACAAACCGGAAGTTCGGAAACATACTTCCGGTTTCTTCGTAGGGCCGGTTTTAGCCCTCTGGAGCCTTCAGGAGGCTTCCCTGAATGCTCCGGAGGGCAAAAACGACCCTACGAGCAAACCGGAAGTCACATCCGGTTTGTTCGTAGGGCCGGTTTTAGCCCTCCAGAGCATTCAGGAGCCTTTAGCTGGAGGGCTAAAATCAGCCCTACGAGCAAGCCGGAAGTCCGTTCCCGAATTTCTGGTTTGCCCATAGGGCCAGTTTTTCGCGCTCCGGAGCTTCCCTGAAGCCTCTGGAGGGCTTCTGGGGTGGGGGGCAGGGGAGACCATTTTCCTATAAAGACTCTGAAGCCTGGGGAGGGCAAAAAAAGCACACCATAAATGGGGGGGCAGCGCTGGTCGTGCCTGCATGTGCACTGGGATTGTGCGCATAGCATTATGGGTGTGGCATGCCCACGCATGACCCCCTTGCACTCCCCCCACTTTTGACACGTGAGCCAAAAAAGGTTTGCCACCACTGGTATAGAATCTCCTGCTTGAGCAGGGAGCTGGACTAGAATGCCTCCAAGATCCCTTCCAGCTCCATTCTGATTCCTATTCATTTCCACAATGAGTTAAAATTGGTTAAAGGTCAGTGATAGATGAGAAAATCTCCTTCAATGAAATTCATGGATGTGTGTAAGTTTTTGCTTTCTTTTGTGATAAATCTAAACATCCAAAGTCCACAAAGACAGCAGATCCTGGAGAATATCACCCATTTAGACTCTTTTATTGGCATCCCCCAACCCAAAGGCTACACATCTGGAGTCTCTGGCTTGGCCTTGTTTACCCAACTTCCATTAGACTAGCATCTTTCCTCTCCATTCCAGGGACCAGTTGGGATCTCCCCTTTCTAACCTTCACTTAAATTGGAAAAGAGTGACCTCAAAGGGACACGGAGCACAGGATCACTTTACTGGCATGCTGCTAAACATTAAGAGGGATGGAACGTTGACCATTTTGCTGCATCCACATCCTTTAATGAAGCCGCATTGGTTGATGGTGAGTTGGGTGATGCTGCGAATGTGTTGATCAAAGATCCTCTCAAAGATCTTCACAGTGTGAGACAGAAGGTGGATTGGGTGATAGTTGGCATAGTCAGCTGGGTCATCTTCTTTATTCTTGAAGATGGGAACTGTTACGTTTGATGACCAATCAGTTGGTAGATGTGTTCATTACAGCATTGAAGAACTCACTCAGTCAAAGTATCTCTGTGTCCTTTAGTTTCCAAACATCTGCAGGCAGATTGTCCAGTCCAGGACCCTTCAAATTCTTCATTCTGTCCACAGCATTGTTGATTTGTTCCTCAGTTATGAGTGGAATGGGTCCATGGGTTGGTGGAATTTGTGGATGGGGGAATTCAATGTGGATGGAAAACTGTATGCATGGAGAATTATATATGTTTATGGCTTTGCAATTTGCAGGAAATGAACTTTT